CGAAATTCAATAGCAGTTAGAAAACGCCATCTGGAAGGAATCAAGTCGATCTGATCAAAAACAACGGAGTAAGAATTTTTTATTCCATTTCACTCGTATGGGAGCTATCCGATATAGTCGGCCGATCCGGCTCTTTCCGACTTATATACTGCGTGCAATAACTACACAACTTTTGGGAAAGTTTCAGCAAGATAGCTTCAAAACTGAGAGACTAGTTTACATAGAAACCGACAGGAGGACAGACGGACAGACAGACAGACAGACAGACGGACAGAAGGACAGACGGACAGACAGACAGACGGACAGACGTACATACATATTTCGATTCAGATGGTGATGCTGATCAAGAATATATATACTTTATGGGGTCTGAGGTGTCTCCTTAACTGCGTTGCAAACTTCTGACTGAAATTATAATACCCTCTGCTCTGCAAGGGTATAAAAATCGTATTAGGCTCGATGTTGTTTAGCCTTTATGTATTTTGTTCATTAAATTATTTAATTGGAAAATTAATAGAAAATCGTCATATGTATTTTGGTCGACATATATGATGACTGCAAGGGTATACAAGCTTCGGCTTGCCGAAGCTAACTTTCTTGTTTTAAATTATTGGTTGTTCTAATAAGTTGGTATAAACTTAGCAGAACAACTAAAATTTAATTTTAACTTAGTATTCCATGAATTTACTGTTAATTATCTGTAGATTATTCGTGAAAGAATCAAAATCGCGGATAAATTTACGAATTTTTTTATTTAAAACTCTTTTATAGTAAACTCTGAGGAGTTTCCTTCACTGCGTTGCAAACGTCTGACTGAAATTATTACATCCTTCGCAAGGGTAGATTGGAGCCGAATTTCAAAAACATATAAATGATTTTAGAAAATTTTACTAATTATTTATTTATTTATTTATTTATTTATTTAATTCAGTTAGAATAGCTTATAATACTAAGACTAACTAAAGAGAGTTGCGGTACTAGCTGCTGAGTCCACAGACTGAATTTTTTAACTTATATTTAAAGTAAAGTTCAAACTGCCCCTTAAATTGATTGGATCAAGATTTTTCTCACGGCAATTAAAAAAACACCTTTTCAAATCGGAGTAAAATTTGTGCAAAACTTACACGTTTTCGGTTAATGACAATTTTGTAGTAAAGGACCAAATAAATAAAGTTTGCAACCAGGATTTTATTTAATCTTCTCTTTTTAATTGAGGAACTGGATTCCATGAATGTTTGTCAGATTCGTCTCAAACTTAAAATGTAGCTTGTTAGACCGTTTAGACATCCCACAAGATTACAAAAGAAGAAAAACATTTTTTTACCAACTACTGTAATATTACGAAATACAATACAACAATATTGTCAATAGACATGTTTAACCATATTCCCATTTGGGTTTTTGGCCGATCAATTCTATGCGGGGCCAAAAATTCAATGCAATTAGAGCGAGCCTCGTTATGGTCACTTTATCATTAATGGATAGTGAAGCTCTTAGATCATTAGGTCAAGTAAAACGCTTTAAAACCTTTAACTCTCGCAATTCCATGCGAAAAAGAGACGCATTAACGAGCGGTTTAGCAACATGTTTGATGCTTCAAACAAAAGGCTTACAGCAATAACGACAATATACAGTCGAATTTTAAACTTCCAGGGCCTGTTGTTTCATTATATGATTGCGGATTCGCCCAATTTTTTTTTTAACAAGTTAACTGATGGTATGTTAATAATTATTTTAAATTTGTTTTCAATATTAAAAAAATGTTTTTTTTTTTTTTGGTTTCACCCTAATTTTAACGACTTTTCACTATTGTGGCAAACTTAAGGAAACAAATCATAAAACTTATAATAATGAAAAAATTGAACAAAAACTATTTTTTTTCCAATTGAACACCTTACTAACTAAACCAAAAATTTTAATTCTGAGCAATTTAACAATAGACATATTTTTTTAATTTAGCTTAATACTTAGAAATGCCGCCTTTGGCCTTAATTACAGATTTTACCCTATTGGGCATAGAATCGTAAATGGAACACAAATATTCCTTCGTTATATCGTGTATCCATACTTTTTCTATAATATGTGTTAGCTCCTCCATAGTTTTGGGCTTTCGCTTTCTTATTTTGGCACCCACATAGGCCCAAACATTCTCGATTGGATTAAGGTCTGGGCTGTTTCCTGGCCAATCTAAGGACTTAATGCCCAATTCTTCCTTCAAATTTGTTTTCTTTAGATAGAAAAATGTCCAATTTAACTGAAAAAGTTGTTTTGATAATAATCGGACGCTGAGTAACTCACAGATCGCGCTCGATGGCAAGGTGCAGAATCATCCTGAAAAATAGGTTCATCGTCTTCTTCATTTATGGACTCAATGCTAGGCACAACTCCTCTTAAAATTATTTCTTTGTATTTTTCTGCATTGACCATACCCTAAACCAGGGGTGCTCAACGCCTATACACTGAGTGCACTTTTGTTTTTGTAGATGCTCTGTGCTTATGGGTAGTGCGCGCATAAGCACCGTGCATATGGGCTTCGATTTGCATGCGAAACAAAAACAATTTTGCTTGTTTCTTCATTACACCTCTTCGATTTGCATGCGAAACAAAAACAATTTTGCTTGTCTCTTCATTACATCTCTATCCGTCGTCACGCTTCGCTGAACGCAATGTATTTTGTTTTTGTTTTTTCCTCGAGCACATGCACTGAAACTTATTTTTCTGTCTGCGTTGGCTTTTGATTTATTTCGTGGTGGACCATCGTAAGTGTTATGTTAAATTTTTTGGCGGATCAAAATGAGTAATGAATTAGAGAGCAGTTTTTTTTAGCATAAACTTTAAATGCGAAGTACAATGCGTAATATGCTTTGTAGTTCTGGAGGTAAACACCAAATACAATCGTAATAACCTCAGTGCACAGCTGCGCCCCAACACAAACGCGCCGCTACATATGTACACGTTTTCTTGTGGGTGTGTTAGTAAACGCACTGCCATAAAACGAATTTGAGCACCCCTGCCCTAAACCATTAAAATTGATTCCGTTTTATATTTGGATATGCATCCCCATACCATAACATACGGTAAATGCTTTACTGTGGCTATGCAGCAATTTTCAGAATAACGTTCCCCACGTCTACGGCGCACCTTGAGGATTCCATCAGATCCAATGAGATTAAATTTGGACTCATCTGAAAATAGCACTCTTGACCAATCAGAAGCAGTCCAATTTTCCTTGTCCTTGGCCCAGTTTAGTCGATTTTTTTTCATTCGCGGATTCAAAAGTGGCTTTTTTGCAGGTGATCTTGCGAGCATTCCCATAGAGTTAAGCCGACGTTGAACAGCTCGCTCCGAAATATCTTTTGAAAACTGTTCATGTACCTCAGATCTTATCTGCACCGCAGTTTTGAAACGATCCTGCAGGCTCGTTCTCATAATAAAGCGATCTTCACGTGACGTGGTGCATTTTTTTCCACCTGTCCCTTTTTTCCTTTTTAATTCACCTGTCTCACGATATTTTTTTAAAAAACGACGCACTGAGCTTTCATTGAAATGTGTTTCAGCCGCTATTTGCCGATTTGACACATTTTGTTCAGCCAATAATATAATTTTTCCTTATCGCGATCAGCAGGGGCGGACGCAGAAAAAAATTTGGGGGGGGGTCCGATCGAAAATTTTTTGTTGTTCGGGGGTCCGATCAAAAATTTTTACGTTTGGGGGGGTCCGATCAAAAAATTTGTTCCTTTGGGGGGTCCGACCAAAAAACATTTTAGTTTTTATGGTTGAAAAGCCGTGTGCTGTAAGGAAATTTGAAAAAGTCTGAGATTTTGGGGGGGGGTCCGGACCCCCCGGACACCCCCCTGCGTCCGCCCCTGGCGATCAGTGAACTGCTTTTGCTTTGGCATTATTTTACAGGTGTCTTTACAAAAAAAATTCTACCAAAAGCAACTTAAGCAACAGCGCTCTTCAAATGACGAAATTATGTCGAAAATAGTCAAGGGAAACCCCCCTAAAAAAATAATGCCCAGAGAATAAAATTTAGGGGAACCCCAGCATAGTGACTGCACAATTTCTAAATTTTTTTAAGTGCGGTTTTTTTTTGTGGCTCTGACTTGACTGTAGGTTAATAATCATTATACACTTTTAACATTCGTTCGTGAATTTCTTTTTAATTGGGCTAGTGGCAACGGCCACGAACGACAAAACTTATTGAACAGAAAGTTGCCACTACCATTAAAATAGTTTTTCAGGCTGTTCCTTTCTTTTTATTTATTTGAGCCTGTATTTATTGAAAGTATGTAATAAGTATAGAAAGCAGTTGCGATTCCATAATATATAATGTATATATTAAATGTTATTAATCAAAATCATTAAACTGGCAAATTGATTTCCCCTATTATCTATTCGTCTGTATTTACTTCGAGATCGGGGGGACTATAAGAACTAGTTTAGATAGCATGTAGTTTGTGTAAGTTCATTTCATTTTTTATTGCTTCCATTTGTATCAAAGAATTTTAAGTATAGCGTCGATATTCATATGACTGTTTAAAATTTTGCAATATATTTTTATACCACCCTTGCAGAGCAAAAGGGTATTATATAATAATTTCAGTCAGAAGTTTGCAACGCAGTGAAGGAGGCACCTCAGACCCTATAAAGTGTATATATTCTTGATCAGCATCACGATCTGAATCGAAATACGTCTGTCCGTCTGTCTGTTTCTATGTAAACTGGTCTCTGAATAACAAATAAAATTTCATCAAAATCGGACGACTATATCATATAGCTGCCATATGAACAATAGTCAAAAATATGAAAAATTAATAGAAAAGTCGTCGTAGCTTCGATGTTGTTTAGCCTTTGTGTATTCTGTTCGAAATATTTGATGACTGCGAGGGTACAGAAGCCTCGGCTTGCCGAAGCTAGCTTTCTTTCTTGTTAAAAGTAAATTAAAACGAAACTAATTTTGCAAGTTAGTGATTAATAATATAATTTATAATTTACAGGAGCTTGCGAAATTTACAGTCTGCCGCGGTTTCCATCTACGCCTCAATTTTTTGCAGTACCATTGGCTGCTAATGATGAAATCGCATCCACATATGCGTTTGTAGGTCCAGCAAGATATTCATGGAAAGAGGAAGACATATTATATGTGGGAACCACATTTACAAATGTTGGGGATTATCGTCACGACGTACCAGCTATTTCATCCCGTCGCCTTGATGACTTAAACTATGCAGAGTTTTCAATACAGCAGTCAATTATAAACATAGATGTCAAATATCGGGATCATTTCCTAGTTGATTATGTTTATGGCTTTAATTCTTCTGAATATGCATACTTTATTATTGTTCAAAAGAAATCACATTTGGCAGATGAGGCGGGTTATGTTACCCGTTTGGCCCGGATATGTATAACAGACCCTAATTACGACAGTTACACTGAAATTACTGTTCAGTGCACTGCAACTGAAAACAATATTGACTACAATATACTACGCGATGCAAAGTTAACACCTGCTAGCCAAAAGCTAGCTCAAAAAATGGGTATAAAAAAAGACGATCACGTATTAGTAACAGTATTTTCCCCTTCAAAAGAGATAAGTAATCAGCCAGAAAGTAAATCAGCAATGTGCATTTACAGCATAAAAGATATTGAAGACGTGTTCATTGAAAACATACATTTATGCTTTAACGGAACAATAAAGGATCGAAACTTGGGCTATATATCGGGCACCATTAATGATGGCAGATGCCCAGTAGTCGGGTCGCTCGGTAACATTTACAACTTTTGCTCTGTGGGACTTAAAATAAGCGGAGTATCTCCTATCACTAGCCATGCTCTATTTCACTTTGAAAACGTATCTGTTACATCGGTGACTGCTACTTCAACAACTGATCAACAACATTCTCTTGCTTTTCTTGGAACAGACATGGGAGTAATTAAAAAGGTTTTACTGTCTGGACAAAGTCCAGGTGAGTACGAAGAAATAGTTGTTGATGCTGGAAACCGCATACTTCCCAATACTATGATGTCTCCCAAAAAGGATTTTCTTTACGTTCTATCTGATCGAAAAATTACAAAGCTACGAATAGAGCACTGCTCTGTTTACACTAACTGTTCAGCTTGCTTGGAGTCTCGAGATCCGTTCTGTGGATGGTGTTCTTTGGAAAAACGATGTACTGTGAGGTCAACTTGTCAGCGAGATACTTCTGCGTCGCGCTGGCTTTCATTGGGAAGTGGACAGCAATGTATTGAGTTTGAAGCTATAATACCAGAAAAAATACCAATTACTGAGCTAACTCACCTACATTTAATAATTCGAACGTTGCCCGAACCTTTCAATGCAAAATACCGTTGTGTTTTTGGAAACTCCACTCCCATTGATGCGGAGATTTTGGACAATGGACTTGGTTGTGCTACGCCTCCACTTGATGAAAGACCGGAAATACCAACTAATACTGACCACGTATTGGTGCCATTGTCGGTGAGAAGTTCGGAGACAAATAAAGACTTTGTGTCAAGATATTTTGCCTTTTTTGACTGTTCACATCATGGAAATTGCCAAGAATGTGTTCAAAGTTCTTGGGGTTGCAACTGGTGTGTTTTCGACAACAAATGCGTCCACAAAACGTCTCCATGCCGTAGTATCGAAAATGCTATAAATGCGGTTGGGCAATGCCCCCATTTAAAAAACAATCATCCGGCGATTCTTTTACCGGTGCGGGTGCCCAAAGAAATTAGGTTAGAAATTGAAAACTTGCCAAAACCAAAAAGTGCCCATGCAGGTTTTTTATGCACTATACATATTGAAGCTGCCCAAATGCTACTACCTGCTCACATCGAGTCAAACAAGATTGTAGTTTGTGAAAAAACACCCTATTTCTACGAGACCAATACTCATGAGTACCAGGCAAAGGTTGTAGTTACATGGAATTTCCAGCACTATGTGGACACTGCAACTATAACGTTGTACAAGTGCGACGTACTGGGCTCTCATCGAGATCATGCTGATTGCAGTTTGTGTGTGACTCGTGATCCAAAATACAAATGTTCCTGGTGCAGCAACTCATGTGTGTATAATGAAACATGTATGGAAGATAAAAACTCTATAAACGGTGGATCTAAATTGGCTTTAGAAAACGAGTGTCCTTTGCCTAGAATCGATATTATCAAGCCATTATCGGGTCCTATTGAGGGTGGCACTCTTATTACAATTGAAGGAAGTAATTTGGGGATTCGCGAAGCAGATGTGCGTGGAAAGATTTTTATAGGGACGGTTCCGTGTGAACTTGTGTCTTACCAAATATCTGTAAAGATTGAATGTCGCACTACAGCAACGATGTACGAAATGTCAGCACCTATAAAGGTTGCAAATGATGCTGGATATACTGAATCAAGTGTACAATTTCATTTTAAAAACGTGATGTTAACAGGATTGTATCCCTCAATTGGACCCAGGTCGGGGGGAACACAATTGTCAATCATCGGAAAGTTTTTAAATATTGGATCAACTATGCGCGCATTTTTAGATGAGTATGAATGTTATATAAACTTTACACAAGCTTCGTCTACCCAAGTAAGCTGCACTACATCTGAGGCGACTCAGCCAGAGCCTATACGATCTCTGCATCTAATAATTGATGGTGCAAACCGAACATTAGAATGCCAAAATTCGGCGCTGAGCACTACCAACAAAAATCCGTCACGAAGTAATTTTGGTCATCAATTTCGTACACCACTGCGGCAGCCGTGTTCTATTTTTAACTATACTCAGGACCCGCGAATAATGCAAATTAAACCCTTACGCAGTTTTGTAAGCGGAGGTCGCGTTTTAACTGTTCATGGAATATATCTTGATTCAATTCAAAAACCTGAACTAGAGGTTTTTTTGACAATGAACGAGTTAACAAAACTTCTTGTGTTGTCGTTACCTCAAATCAAATGGAGTGCCCATCACCTCCGGTGAATTATAAATTTCAAACTTTTAAAAATGCCAGCAGAATGCTGAATTCGGAATTGGACTTTAAAAATGCTTCTCTGACAACAGAGAATTGGTTTAGTCATAGGCAAAAGCGAAGATCAGACTTTATGGATAACTTTCACATTTACACAACTGGTGAAACTTCGCCTAGCTACTTAGCTGAGAATAACATGGATGTCACAACTTTTGTAAAGGTCCATGAAACTCAACTAAATTTACAACTTAGTTTTGTAATGGACAATGTTCAGCTTGTTCGGGATTTGACAAAATATTTTCATGATATACGAAGCACTATAGTTTACTTAGCTGATCCCAAATTTTTGCCATTCCCAAAAGATGGAATCAAACTGTATAAGGGGGACAGTCTAGTCATAGAGGGTGAGCTTTTAAACTTGGCAGCAGATGAATATGACGTCAATGTAACTATTGGAACCGCTCAATGTAATATTACCAGTTTGGCACTCACCCAACTTTTATGCATTCCACCGGAGCATCAACCGCTCCCAACAGATGAAAATGGTATCGATCAATCTCTTGAGTTACCTCTTGTTGTAGTTAAAGTGGGACGTAACCTTCGTTTTGTTATTGGATATTTAAAGTATGATTTAAATAAACCGTATGTTTTCTCACACGCTTTGTTTGTGGTTTTGTTGACGGTGGCAATCCTTGTAATTTTTCTGGTAATCGTACTAATAATATTCAGAAGGAAGTCTACGCAAGCGGAACGGGAATACAAACGTATTCAGATACAGATGATAACATTAGAAAGCAATGTTCGTTCTGAGTGTAAGCAGGCATTTGCCGAGCTTCAAACGGACATGACCGATCTAACGGCAGATTTAGAAAGTACCGGAATACCAACGTTAGACCACGTGAACTATATTATGAAGGTCTTCTTTCCGGGGGTATCGGATCATCCCATTTTAAATTCGGAGAAATTTCGTGGAAACAGCCCACATACGAACTATGACGCTGCAATGGTGCAGTTTGAACAACTCATTGGAAACAAATATTTCTTACTTATGTTTATTGAAACCTTAGAGGCTCAACGGTCGTCCTTCTCGATACGCGACCGAGTTAATGTTGCGTCGTTACTTATGATAGTTCTTATGAATAAAATGGAATATGCCACGGAGATCTTAAAGTCTCTTTTATTGCGTTTAATTGATAAATCACTTGCTAGCAAGCATCCTCAGCTAATGCTACGGCGCACTGAAAGCGTAGTTGAAAAGATGTTAACCAACTACTTAGCAATTTGTATGTACGATTATCTCAAAGAGTACGCTGGATCTAATTTATTCTTGCTATTCAAGGCAATTAAGCATCAAATTGAAAAAGGTTTGGTCGATGCAATAACTAACGATGCTCGTTACTCACTTTCCGAAGAACGTCTTTTGCACGAACAAATAACCCATTCAGTTGTAATGTTACATATTTTACAAGATGATCTTGATGAAAAAGTCCAATGTCGAGTAAACGATTGGGATACTATTTCACAAGTAAAATTAAAAATTCTTGACGCAATTTTTAAAAATACTCCCTTTTCTATGAGACCATCTGTGCACGAAGTGGACTTAGAATGGAGACACGGACGAGGAGGTCATCTCACGTTGCAGGATGAAGACTTAACAACAAAAACAGTTAATGGTTGGAAACGCCTTAACACACTGGCTCATTACGGAGTCAAAGAATCGGCCGTAATGTCACTCATTGCAAGACAAAGTGATAATTACCATATACCCTATGGTAAAAACCAAAATCATGCACCATACCATAATTGTGAGTAGTGAACCTAACATATTATATTTAACAATAATTTTACTGTTTACATTTCAGTTTATTTTATAAATAACTCGCAAAGCCATATTATAATGAATAATGACATCGAATCAGGTTTGCAACAGCCGCGACTTTACCATCTTGTTAAACCGGTTATTCCTGATCATTATATGAACATTAAAAACTCAGTTTTATCTGGAGCGTCACCAGCATTGCAATCATCGCATTGCGTAAATAATTGTAATGATAGGGTTAACAAAACAATACCAGAAGTATACTTAACACGCCTGTTGGCTACTAAAGGAACTATACAGAAATTTGTTGATGATTTCTTCTCAATTATTTTAACTGTAAATGAGGAGCTACCACCTGCAGTGAAATGGCTGTTTGATTTACTGGATGAGGCAGCGCGTCGTCATGATATTGCTGATACTGATATTGTGCACGCTTGGAAATCCAATTGCCTGCCCCTTCGATTCTGGGTTAACTTTATATAAAAATCCAGACTTTATATTTGACGTTAATAAAACATTTTGTGTGGATTCCTGCCTAAGTGTCATCGCCCAAACTTTTATGGATGCGTGCTCAACCGCTGAGCACAGACTTGGAAAAGACTCTCCTTCCAATAAGTTGCTTTTTGCTAAAGTGAGTATGAAAAAATCAAAATTTTTATCCAAAAAGAATCATTTTATAAAACGCTGTATTATTACTTATCTTTAGCCTTTTTTAACGTTATCTTTGCACTTTTAGATATTTAACAATGTTGAACGACTAAGATATATCATTGCTATCAAAAAGTGAGCCTTTCCAAACGTATGCCTTTTATTATCTGTTTTGTTTTACGCAAGGAAGTGAATCGTCTTTAAGAAGGGGGTAAAGGCTTTCACTTATAAGCATTTGAGCATATTTTTTCTAGTCCTATTTGTTTAAAGAATATATTCTTAGACTTGAATAAATATAAGCAATACTGTAAACGTTATTCTCCTTTTAACCTCGCGACCTTTAACGTGATAACCCTAAAAGCTCTAAACAGATCTCTAACTACTTTTTCAAAGTTCCTTGTCACGGCTTCGAAATCACAAAATGGCAGATGGTCGCTAAAAATTAAGAAAACTCTTTTTTTGCAAGTTTATTCATTTTTAAGAATAATTTTACTCCAAGTTGAGGTGAGAAAGTTGACCTCTTCCAAAGATGTTCTAGGGGAAGCTCTGTTAAGGGCTTACGCTTTAAGTTCTACACAGTTAAAAGTATGCTCAATAATGTTCAAAGTTGCTCAAACCATTTTGTAGAAAAGAAAAGAATTTTGTAGTAGAAGTAAGTAGTTTCACGTCTAATGTTGTCTTTTAGTTGACTTAAGGTTTTTGGTTTATTAGCGTATACCTTGGATTTCAAATAACCCCAGAAATAAAAGTCTGGTGCCGTCAAATCTGGTGATGTTGGGGGCCATTCAAAATCACCACTTTTCGATATCAACCGCCCAGGGAACAATGTTCGCAATAAATCGATTGTTGCTCTAGCTGTATGGCAAGTTGCCCCGTCCTGTTGAAACCAGAAGTTATCCATGACATTTTCACGAATAATAGGCATCAGAAATTCCTGAGATCGTCGATGTCGTAGAAGTCTCATCAATACTGGCTCGTACAGCTTCGATATTTTCATTAGAACGTCTTGTTCGTTGCCTGGATACATGACTGGCATACTTAGATTACCGGTGTTTACAAATTTTGCGTACAAAGACTTAATTGTGTTTTTAACTGGAGCACTTTTAACTTTATTCATTTCACGAAACGCACGTTGGGTTAACACAGTTGAGAATTTATTTTCAATGTAGAGCTGAACAATTTGAGCGCGTTCCTTTGGAGGGTATTGTTCCATGGTATCAATTGTCTTCGACTGACGCTTCCAACGTGGTATGACATTTGACGATCTGTCGACGCTGTCAAAAGTTACAGGGTTGCCAAATGGGTCAATTTTAAATGGCCCACCCTGTACAAACAAAAAAGGACTAATAAAATGCTAAAGGTTGAAAAAGTGTTTTCTTAGGTATTCTTGTCATTAGTGCTATTACTGTGTTTTTAAAAGTTTGTACTTCAACACGACTATTTCTCCCATGAAATTTGTATTACTTACTTACATGCTGCATTTTTTTTTGCCAACGAAAATTATTTTTTATTTGCTTAAAAGGCGTGACCCATGAGAAAATTAAAGCATTTAGTTAAAATTAATCGTTAGTTGTGATGAAAAAGTCATAAAATATTTATAGCGCGCTAGCCCAGTATCAAAATATTTGTTGGGTCAATGAGCTTTTTCATTAACCTTTGGTGGTGACCAATTAAAATAAGCCGCATAAATTTTCGATAAATTTACACTTATTTATTTAACCCTCTAAGCCCCAAGAGTGCCTTGAGGCACTCATTTCACATGCGTTTTTGTGGAAAGTGGCATTAGAGGGTTAACTGGCACCAAGGCCTTAAATGTACAGAGTTACGTTAAGTTTGTTCGAGGGTTAATTTTAATTCCATATAAAGATGTTGGTCTAAATAACGTAACAAAATATTATTTTATTTTATTATTTAATATCTGATAATAAACTAATAAAAGTTTAATGTTAACGAACAACTATAAAATAATTGTTTTGTAGGATATTCCCCACTACAGAATTATGGTGAAGGAGTTTTACCGCGACGTGTCAAAGCTTCCACAAATAAGCGACCAGGAAATGAGTACAGCTATGCAGCAACTATCTATAAGGCAGAATGAAGAATTTGATACAATTTCTGCTTTAAAAGAGTTATATATATATATAACAAAATACAAGGGTCAGGTAACTCGATAATTTAATAATATATAGCCTAAAGTGCTATTTTTAAAATTTTTCTTAATGAGTTTTCTTTGCAGATTATGGAAGCTCTAGAAAGTGATATAAATTGCCGGAAGATGCAACTTTCCAGAAAATTGGAAAACGTCGCTGGTACCCTGGACGGCGACGGAATATCTAATTGCTGACATAAAGATGACGCGTTAGGATTTGTTTGGACTTTCAAATATATATATATATATATATATATATATATATGATTTTTGGTTTTCAACACGGTCAATATTGATTAGTTGTCACTTGGAATGCACTTTAAACTTTTTATTAAAAAAAATGACTGGCATAAATTATAGAGAACTTATCATTGTAAACATTTTTATAGGCCCTGAAAATCGTGTCCAAAAAACATGTATGTGCAAAAAGCAGGCTTTGTAATCTAAGAACAATTCCCTTCCGCTATAATTACGAAAAAAATACAACGTTTTTTCGATATTAAACAATTTTGATTCGGTGTCTTCTTTTTATGATAATAGAACTCATGAAACTGAAATAAATTTCCGGAATACGATACTTTCCCGAAACTTAGAAAATGTCTATAGCAACCTTGCGAGAGGCAGAACCTACAGATAAAGTATTCGAATTTGTTTGTAGTTTCAAACATGCTTATTAACTTTTTTTTAACGTTAGGAATAACATAAAACAGACCGAGGGTTGCAGCCGTGGATTGATTGGTTTCCCAAGAATTTTGAAGCAATGTGAAAAGAAAAACAAGAAACAAAGCTTAAATTACTTTGCTAAACCAGGCTAAAGAAATCGAAGCTATGATGATTTTTCTATTAACTTTCTATATTTTCTCTATGCCAGCTATAAGATGTAGCCTTCCGGTTTTCATAAAATTTAATTTGAAATTCAACGCAGTATATAAGTCGGAACGGAGTATTCATATTCACATACATATTTGATGATATGACATCTGTTTTCGAATATTATAATTTGCTATCAGAAGTTGTTGTTTTTATTTTTGTATCATCATGTTACCATGGCCTACTCCACTCACCTCTCAGAACTGCTCCACCAACCTAATCCTCTCCCTGCTGACGCCGGCGCACATATCCCACTCCATACGAGCTGCTGCTGAAACAACCATATGGTTCAAGCGCCCACCCACACGGAACCAATGGTATGACGAGGAGTGTCGCGTCGCAGCTGCAGCAAAAAACGCCGCCCACAGAAAAACGCTGCAGTCTGGCGCAACGCGAGCTACGTGTGAACGTTATAGGGAGAAAAGGAAGGAAGAGAGGTGACTTTTCAGACGGAAAAAAAGGGAGCAAGAAAGGCGAGAGTGCGAGGAACTTGAGTTGTTGCAGGACAGGAATGATGTTCAAAAATTCTACCAAAAAGTCAACCGTCTGACACAAGGTTTCTAGACTGGAGCATCTAACTGTCGAGATGAAAATGGATATCTGGTTACGGATACGCAGTGCACGCTGCGGCTATGGAGGAAGCATTTATCCAAGCTGCTAGCAGGCGATGACGGCACCAATCCCGCCATTGGAGGCCCAACGAGGGCAAGACGAAGTATATGCTGTCTACAAGCAGGGAGGCGCGGCGCCTACACTCCCATGTGATAGCGGATAGCTAAACCTTCGAAGTGGTGAAGGAGTTCACGTACCTTGGCACTGCCATTAATACTGAAAATGACGTCAGGCTGGAGATTAAGCGAAGAATCACACTTGCCAATAGGTGCTACTTTGGTCTAAGTAAGCAAATGTGCAACAGAGACCTCTCTCGCCGAACAAAATTGACACTCTACAAAGACACTCATCTTACCTGTGCTCTTATATGGCGCAGAAGCATGGGTTATGTCAATGATGGATGCAGCAGGGCTTGGAGTGTTCGAGAGAGAAATGCTTCGCAAAATCTTTGGTCCCGTTCGGATTGGGGACTACTTTCGCATTCGGATGAACCACGAGCTGTACGAGTTGTACGACGACGTGGACATGGTCCGGCCCATCACCAGCTCAGAAGCTTTGAAGCGAGGGTCGACTACGGGCGTCGACGAAGGGGACGACCAAAGCTCCGTTGGAAGGACCAATTGGAGGAGAACCTAGCTGCAATGGGTATTTCCGATTGGAGGAGGCGCGCGAGGAGCAGAGGGGCCTGGAGGGAGACGCTGAGGTCGGCCAAAATTCGAATCGGGTTGTAGTGCCACCTAATAATAATAATAATAATCCTTCCAAAACTACTTTACTGTGTGTAGAAGAAGATTCTTAATCTTCTGCTTTGTAATATTATTTATTTGGATTCTAAAAGTTAATCTGCAACAACATTAATTTTATTCATTATCGATTGCAGGTTGGTCGAAAGCAATTCAAAATATTTTTGTCATTCTCTTCTCTTTTTTATTGAATCTACTCTTAATTTTGAGACTAACAATAAGTTGGAGAATCTTAACATTAAAATTTAACTGACAGTACACTAAGACTGCATTCTGGTTGTGCGTCCCTCAGGTCGGTCGCTGGGTGGGTAAGTCGTTGCGACGAAGGCGTGATTGGTTGCTCAACCTTGTTAGACCTCTCGCCAGGTGGTTAGGGTGCACCGATAGCTTGGTTAAGTACTTTACCTTCTGTTCAGCGATCACTTCTTTGACTGGTAGAATGTTTAAGTCGCGGTGTATGTTTTCGTTGCGAACGTACCACGGTGCCCCGGTGATTGTTCTCAAGATCTTCGACTGAACTCTTTGAACTATGCCAATGTTGCTATTGCTGGCGTTCCCCCATAACTGGGAGCCGTACATCCATATATCGGTTTTAGGACCGAGTTGTACAGCAGGTCTTTATATTCAAGGCTAAGAGATGACCGAGCGTTGATAAGCCAATGAAGGCTGCTGGGCAGACCTTGTATGGCCATATTCTTGGCAGTTGGCACATTGCACCGGGCCATTGCGTTTGTGCGGCTCCTCAACTGTAATTCTGCGGTGCAGCAGGAACTGAAGATTGTATATAGGAAAGATCGAAAAATCTATATAGAATAACCGGAAATAAAATGATAACATCGTTATTTTTCATCAGATAATCATCATTATTTGAATAACAAATAAAATTTCATCAAAATCTGACGATCGGAAAAGTCGTCGTAGCTTCGATGTTCTTTAGCCTTTGTGTACTCTGTTCGAAATATTTGATGACTGCAAGGGTATATAAGCTTCGGCTTGCCGAAGCTAGCTTCCTTTCTTGTTCGAGCTTTGGTCCCCCAGGAGATTGAATTGGTGATGACCAAAATTATAATGTAATTGTAACTGCTCATGCTACTTTTTTTTTTTTGCTTTTGGTCAATACCAGCGACAGGCTGCTGACTGCAAAGTGGAGCTGGTGTTTAAAAATTAATGCGACAGCCATTGAATATTTATTGGTTGTTACTTTGCATATAATTTGTGGGCTGGCATTGATTTGCTTGCAGAAGGGCAACATTTAAATGTGGAACCTGTCAGGCTGTTGACTCTGCGGTTTTAATTTGCCAGAGTGCGCTAATACGAAATTAATTTGCCCGGCTAACCAGGACAGGCTGTCAAGATACTTGTCCAGTTTTGCGGCCAAGACAAATGGCGTCTGCTATTGAAATATTAAAAATTTTCTTTTTGTCCTAGTTTTAAGGGAAGCATGCGCAAGAAAAATTACCAAACCGTAACCCGTGCGTTATCGGCATTATAGGCAGTTTTGCACTCAAAATGCCAAAATTTACGGGTTTACGGACAAAAAGCACCGTATGTATCACTTGCGGTAAATACGAGATGACACTCGTGTATAGAATAAAGAATTTTCGTTGCTTTCATGATTTTGGCATATGCTTCGACTGCAACTTCGGATTTTTACAAAAGCAGAAGCAATTGCTTATTTTAGAATGTTACACACAGTCGAAGCACCGAATAGCTTAAATTTTGCGACTTCTGCTAATTCGACTACAGTTTTTTAAACACTGCTTTGGAAACCATGGAGAGAGTGCGCCATGAAATGGAGAAAACGCAGAAATTTCTAGAAGCTTTGCAACGACAGATCGACACATTTTTATGGCAGTGTATCAATTAACAGACAAGAGAGCAGTTCTCTCTCATCTCGCTCTCTCGGTCTGCTAATTGTCTCCACACCGCTCTGCCGTCCTCTCCTGGATTTACATTCAAGTAGTGTAAAAACTGACCTGTGCTAATAAAGGTGATATTTTCAAAGTTCAACAAAGTTCTTTTATTTCCGCGACGCGCAAGTCAAAATTTCTTTTCGAGTGCTTTACGTCCAGAAGGAAGTCCACCCCCCGACAATCATTTGGTCCTTCGAGCCGGATAATTTCTGAAGCAACTACCAGCGTTCACCGGTGGATATTTTCTCAAAGATACCTAAGTTCGAATTTTCATATATATATATATATGCGATCGCCATATTGGCTTCACATAATTTCCAAGTCCATTATATATATATGTACATGCGTATGCACACTCCAGTGCATACTTTATTCCAAAAACATATACAGTAGAATCCGGTTATAACGACTCCGCTTATAGTGTCCGTCCGGGTATTGCGACGAAAACGCGATGGCTTGATTGGTCCCCAGACAGACTTTTACACTTAAATCCTTCTGCTTAGTGCGTCTTCCGGGTATAACGACGAAAAATCGACGGTCCCTTGAAAGTCGCTATTAGCGGATTCTACTGTACATATATATAAACGATCGCCGTATTGCGGCTTCGTTTAATTTCCAATTTCCTACGGCAATTATTCCAATTGCAAATTTACTTATATATGTATGCACACTTCGGTGCATACATCATTTCATACATACATGTATATATATATATGTATACTAGAGTTTATGTGTCCGCTTCGCTGGTCAACACAATTTAACAACATAATAGTCAATGTTGCAACATTTTTCAAATATATGGAAGTATAGAAAGATGGTGATTTAACACTTTTCCAGTTTGACTTTTCCACTTGCGCAGCACAATCCAGCCGTTTCTCTTTTAAACTTTAACGCACTGCAATATCGGTATATTGTCGCCATTGGTCCAATATCTAAATTTTCATTATCACTGTAGTTCTCAGTGGGGTCATATTGGAATGCCAAGCGATTGAATGATGCCAATGATCTCCATGTGCTCATTTGTCTTTCTTCGCTTAAGTTTTGTGAATATACTTGTTGCTGGCTTGGATGTCTGCGGCCAATGTTTGCACGTCGTCCTCTAAGCATTTTGGACTATGGAAAGAGTGGTGAATTTATCCTCAAATGCACGATCCACAATAAGAATAAAAATTCTTTTTTTTTCACAATTTCACAGTGAACACATTACCCCTTTGTCTATGAAATTAACTGAGCAGAGAACACTAAGGTTTGCATAATATGTGAAAAAACTTAATTCACTTGGAAATGATAAATGAAAACTACAAAAATTGAGTTAAAATGCTATGGTAGCGTGTTTGTCAGTGTGATGAGGTAGCAACTCACTTTATATGC